AAAGCAAACCAATTTCCAAGTGATGTAAGAAATGGGAGAAAACATTCCAATGACAAAAAAAAAAAGTAGAAGATTGGGGGGGTTTTTGTTTTTTATTTTTAACCTACCTGGTATGCACAGAAAGGCATCTTTGCAAAAACTCTAGTCTGCTGATTTAGAAAAATTTAAATATCATTTGGAGTGCCTAGAAATCCTAGTCATGGATCAGGACTCCATTATGATAAGTTAGTATTTCTCAGCCAGGGTGACGTAATACTCCTGAGTTCCCAGGACACCCTTGAAAGGGTGCTATACAATGCTATCCCTCTTGAGTGTGAGAACATGATTAATAAAATTAAACCTAGAAAACCAAATAGAAATTAGTAGCGTTAGACTTTCTGACCTTTGAGTTTTCTGCAGCAGAAAAATCGCTCTATTTTTCTGTAGTCAAAAAATTAGTGAAATTTTTAAGAGCAAGCAGTTTCCATCCAGTGTCTTGAGTCTAACAGGCTTGAGGACCATTCTGCTAGGATCTGGAGAAGTACAAAATGACACTGTCTGCTCCAAGCACCTCACAATTGAAAGTAAGATGTGCAACTACTAATGGGTAGGCACAGATTGAGGGGAAAAGCATGAAGAAACCAATGAGACCATGTTGGGCAGTGGTTGTAGCACATAAGAAGGATTTTTTTTTACCTTGTTTAAGGTATCAGGGAGGGGCTTGAAAGCCTTAAGACATCTGCAGAGACAGAATTAGCTTTTATCTCAAACAAGAGGGGTAGCATGAGAGAGAGTGTCATAGTTTGTAGGGTCGGAAGGAACCTTGACAGATCATCAAGTCTGACCCCAGGGAAGAGCACTTTGGTAAAACAACCCCAGCAAGGGGTTCATCTAGCCTCCTCTTAAAGACCCCCAAGGTAGGAGCCAGCGCCACTTCGCTTGGAAGTTGGTTCTAGATCCTAGCTGCCCTGACTGAAGTAGCGCCTCCTGAGGTCTAGTCTAAATCTACGGTCTGCCAGCTTGTGACTGTTATTTCTAGTCACTCCTGGGAGTGCTCAGGGGGGAACAGGGACTTCCCCAATGCCTGCTGGTCCCCCCTGACTAGTTTGTAACAAGCCACCAGATTCCCCCTCAGCCTTCTCTTGTGAAGGCTGAACAGGTTAAGGTCCTGTAGCCTCTTCTCATAGGGTCTGCCCTGCTGTCCCCCGATCATG